TCGACAATATGCGTTTTTGCTGACTGTAGCAGCGCTATAGCGCTGCACAGCAAAAACGCATAATAAGAACTTCGTATTCAAATCGTCTCCTAAGCCCCCTACCACATCCCAGTATATTTGAAAAGTTTAAGATGATTACGCCAATCCTCAAATGAATTTAAATCCGCGTTATTCCAAATGGATGATTTTAACATCTTTGATTTTATGGATCTTCGCACTCGCTCGTTTATTACTTCATCACAAAAAGCAAGAACAGCTACGACTACCCTACTCCTGGCAGGTTCTGTTTTTAGACTAACACAGACAATTTTCTGCCTATCCCAGAACCTAATCGAAAGGCAAATTTTCTGCACAATATTGCATTTCTTAGATAAAAACAATAGATGAACTTTTAAGAGATTCTTGGGTGTTGAATTTCGGTGAAGTGCTGGTACAGTACCTTCAGCACGAGTCGGTCTTGGCTTGTGTATCATCGATTCGAGCATCTGTGTTGCACAGATGACTGGCTTGCCGTATAAGTTGCACTTTGCAGTTAGCATTTTCTGGGCGAGAAAAACTTTCTCGGGTGGTATCTCAATGCCCAGATCACCACGAGCTACCATTATTCCATCGGCTTCTTGAATTATTTCATCAGAACTGAAATTTTTTGCAATTTACCAGTCCGTATGTTGTGTGGCGCCAGCACTGAAGCGTCGATGAAACACAACATCGCCCTTGGAAAAGAACCTAAGTTGTTTCGGTCGCGTAGAAGTTGTTAATTGAAATGATTGATCTTTTGGACAAAAGTTGTCAGATTGCCACTTTCCTATAACAAGCGAAGAAAAATCTTTACTTGTCAACGCCTTGTTGATTTTCAATCTTTGCAATGACTTTGATTTGCTTGCCCTTTTCGCCAAGCACCTTACGTATTTCACGGATTCCATCAGCGTTTCGGATGAATGATGCAAAAATGATGTCAATACCCTAAAGCAAAAAAAAACTATATCAAAGATCTGGGTCTTCTGGCCACATGAGAATAATGTATGCAATACATCGCTTATCGAGGCATCCTGCACATTCATGCCATGCACTTTCTGTTGAAAGAGAAAGGGCATAGTGTAGGAATAACAAAAATTTTATACGCTAGTTGGCTTCGAGCTGATATTTTTGCCTTAAAAAATTCTAACAGACATTGTTCTAGGAACAGGAGCGTTTTTTACGAATAGGCAAGTATGAGCATTTGAAGACCCGTAAATAATTTTCCACACTATAAAACCAAATATTTTATGCCACATTCTGTCACGCTGGTCTGCTTCTAATCAACTTCCGAAAGAAAGAACCGTCGACAAGCTTGCCGGGGATAATTGCTGTTGGCATCTGCTACTTACAAAATACTTCTGAGTGCCTCAGCCCTCATAAAGAGTGTAGCGAAAAACCCGCGAAAAGCTGGCCAAGAAGCCGTCACACAGGAAAAAGATGAAAACTACCTATGGGAGGCAGGGAAGAAAAGAAAGATTTATCCTATTTTAGAAGCCAGATACACAGCAAATGTGCCTGGAGCAGGGAACCAGTAGTGTAGTGGCAGCACGCAGCATCCGGGTGTGAAAAGGAGTGGTTCGATTCCCTACCGATACAAAACGATTTTCGAAAACGGAATTCGTTCACGACGAGGTTTGAATATGGAGGGCGTCTTGACCCTCGAGACGCTTACAATATTAGATGCTGTTTTTACAAAATTTAAAAAAAAACACTTGTTCGGCTAACCAGTTTGACAGCAAACTGCAAGTCGCTATAATCGCGATCGGTGACTGCTGGAAAATCGACAAGTGCACCCGGAAGATTCACACCTTTCTGACTGCCCAATAAACCGCCATTTTCAATTTTACAATAAATCGATTCATCTTCTACAAATTGCTCCAATAAGTAAAGTTAAATGAGCAGAAATACGTTGCGAAATTACATAAGTTGTATGAAACATCAACTGTCCGGGGGAAATAAATCAAGGATTTTACTCGAATACGATGACTAGATGCAGCTCACATCGACTATGTAACTGGCAACTTTTCCAGCCGCTTTTATCAGTACTGCCCTAAATGTTAGCGATTACAGCATCTGATTCATCTCCTAGAAAGGCTACCAGCTCATCATTTCTCCCGAAGAAGCATTTTGGCAAGATTTTTACCGCTCCGAGATGTTACTGGTGCGTATTGAGCATCACCACCTCATCTCAAATGCTTTACTCTCGACCACAGTATCTACCTTGCAGACTTATGCTTCTTTCAATGAATTCCTCGAAACGACACAAAGAGTCTTTTTATATTCAAATCAGCGGATGTTACTGACATATTAACTTTGCAAGTATCTTCACATTCGATTAGGCAGTCTTTATGCAATCAAATTGACACATTGCACTGGCGGACTGGTTTTTCAGCTCTTTCAATTTCTCGGATTCGTCAGTCTTTCGTTCTTTTCCAACTTTTCACACTTTCTGCACTCTTTTAAGTAGAATTTTGTCTATTTCACTAGTTAACGATAATAACTCAAAAGAAATTGCCCTACACTCGATCACTGGCAGCTTTGGCAATAACACTTATACGTTTTTGCTTCTATGCAAATTGCAAAAACGCATATTGCAACGACCTTGTCTGTGCGTGTATGTATGTTCGTGTGTGTGTATGTGTGTGTGTGTTTGTGTTCGTCTGTCCGGGTATTTCAATTCGGCAACAATCAAGCTCAGCCGCCAAGATTTTGCCAGTGGGTTCCCCGGCCAAGTGCCACCCCAGGACTGCGGTACCAGCCCTCATGCAAGTCTGGACCCCGCGTACGAGGGGGTGAGACTTTTGGCGTGAAAATTGTTAACTCGGGAACGAAAAAGGCTAGGAAGCTGAAACTTTGAGATTATTTTCCCCGCCCTTACTGAACTCAAGAATTTCAAATTCAGCCCTCGACTGCGCGTAGTTCCCGCGTATGGCCCCGTAAGGGTTCCTGGCGCGAAAATCGCTAGATTGGGAACCAGGAAAGCTGGGAGGCTGAAATTTCCAAGGTATGTTCCAAGCACATGAATAACTTAAAGATCTCAAACTCAGCCCCCAGGTATGCTCCCAGATCATGTGCGAGAAAATGGCTAACTCGGGAATCAGGAAAGCTAGAAAGCTCAGATTTTAGGAGAATATTTCCCACCAAATATAACTTAAAGGTTTCAAATTCAGCCTCAACGTATGCGTAGTTCTCGTGTATGGTCACATGAATTTTTGGCGGAAAAATTACTCAATGGACAGCCGGGTCATTTTCAAAAAAAGACTGCTAAACAGAAATTGTTTATTTCGTTTTATGCAAAATTTACGATGATTTGCGGTACTGAGTGCACAAGGTAGGTGTGAAGGAACAATCGTTCATGCAGTTAACCTAATTACTCTAAGTCTGGTGCAAGAACGCATGATCGCACCAGCTCGCCTGGTGCGTTCCAGCCTGGGCTAATTTTGCTTTTCAAAAAAAACTTTGCGTACCAATTTTGTTTACAATAAGCATGATGAGGCCATCATCGATGTAAATCACGGAACCCGGGCGCACCACTTTTGTCATGTTTTTGTAATCCACATAAATCCGCTCAGTGGTGCATTTTGACATGTAAGCATCATCTGTTGTGAGCACCAAATCCATGCCCCTCTTCAGCAGCACTTCGTCACTTTTCCCCTGAAATCTAATTTCAGCATTTCCGGCTCAGACTGATGGAAACACGGCTGGGCAAAGTGTTGCAAAGACAGCTCATTCAACTAATAAAATTAGACCTATGCTGAAAGACGCTCAAGTTTGCCTGGGCAGTCTCGAGAGTAAATAAATGTATCGTATCAACTGCCTGTGTTTTTTTAAACAAAAAAGTACCGTTTCAATGATCCCGGTCCTGATCTCTGGTCCCTTGGTATCCAAAGCGATTGCTACATCCGTTTCGGCAGGATTTTCTATTGCTGCTCTAATATTCTCCACTGTCTGCGCATGGTACTGCAATTTTAGTGAATTTTAAGAAAATTTTCAACAACTCCAAAAAAATCTGCTTGCACAGAATAAGACATATGCAACTTTCATCGTTTGGAATGTACAGTGCCTGTTTTTAAGAGATCTGAATGAATTCAGCATCGTTGTGAATTGAAATATAACATAAATTTAACACTCAGCAGATTTTTAGTGATCCGATTTTAAACTGAGCGATACCAAATTAACCCACTTCGTGACTGCCGTGGCTGAAATTCAGCCGAGCGATATTCATGCCCGCCGCGATCATCTTCTTTAATTTCTCTACACTGTTGCATGCTGGGCCTGCAAAACAGGTAACACCCTAAATTCGCAGAAAATTCGGAAACGAGATTGAATTCGCTTCTTTCAAATTTTTAAAGCACAGTTATTTGAATGAAAGGCAATAACCAATAGTGCATATGATGCCGGTTTTGCGATGTAGTGTTGGTTCTTGCGCGATATTCAGGCGGCACAGATGCTCCAGCTGCGTGGAAACTTTCAGAAGCACTCCTCTGCAAAAAATTTCTACCGAACACTTTCCGCAGCTTCATCTGAAGCAAATTTGAACGTACCCTAAGTGTTTATTCGTTTCTGCATTTTGTGCAAATGCAAAAAACTGTAATGTAGTAACATCATGTTATTAACAGTCTGATGCTTCATGTTTAGCACAAAAACGCATGCTTGCACTGACATGGGTTGTATTTGTGTAAATATGCAAAGACGCTTAATAAGCAGATTTATATGTATGTCTCTGTTATGCATGCATGCATGAATATATTTATGTATATGTGCACGCATATATGCATATTTTTCTGTTATCTTTCTGTAAATGTACCCCTAATAGTGGTTGGGGGAACTTTTAGTGACGTAATACCATTGTCTGAAACGAAATGGGTCAAATAAGAGTGATGTTTGAAAGAGTATTTGGTGAGCAATGCAGGAAGGAGCAGGAGATGACTTTTCAAAAAACACTTATTCGAAAAGCGAAAATATTTTTTAATCGTGTTGATCTAATACGAGATTGGCTCCAGTGGCAGCAACATAAAAAGCTTGTATATTTGTACATGTTAACTCTTTGTGTCTGTATGTGTGTACTTGTATTCATACGCATGTATGTCGCTGTATGAACCATTTTTAAAATCATCGTTCACGTAGCATGAGTCTCATATACGGAAGCTTAAAAAAATCCATGTAAATTTTTTGATAGGAAAAGAATTTCGGAAACTAAAGAAGATAGGAAGCTGAAAATTTGCAGGAATATTAGATGCCCTTGTGTGGGGTAAAGATTTTAAACTTAACTTGAAGCATAAGTATGTTATGCGCCCAAACACATCAAAATTGCGGTTCATAAAAGCTGGCAGGATGCCAACTCAAGAATTTTGGCTGAGTAGGCT